AGACAGCTTGTGAACCATTTTCACCAACCTTTTGATTAGTAACTGTAATTTAATTACATATTTTCTCACTTACTGTAACAAATTTCTATCACATATATGTTTTACTTTAATTACATAACCCCGTTCCATGTAACTAGTTACTCCCCAACACTGCCAGTGAGTTAGATTCAGGCTTGTGTTTCTGAAATGTTATACGCAGAGGTGGGTAGTAACTAGTTACATTTACTCAGTTACATTTACTTGAGTAAATGTAACTGAGTTTTTGGATAAATTGTACTTTTCAGAGTAGTTTTAATGCAAAATACGTTTTACTTTTACTTGAGTTATATTGTTTTAAAGCAACAATACTCTTACTTGAGTACAATATTTGGCTACTCTATCCTTTGTTTTAGTTAAAGGGGTATTGTTTAAAATACATGAATTTGCAGATTATTATTTTTGATTGATTGATTACGTTCATGTTCTTATTTTACAAATAAATCAGACGTTACTCAACAGTTATTCAGTACTTGAGTAGTTTTTTCACCAAATACTCTTATACTCTTACTCAAGTAATTATTTGGATGACTACTTTTTACTTTTACTTGAGAAATATTGTTCTAAAGTATCAGTACTCTTACTTGAGTACAGTATTTGGCTACTCTACCCACCTCTGGTTGTACGTGATCATAGAAAAAAGACATAAATCCACATAATAGGAGTTCAGTTCAAACTTATGAATGGCAGCAATTTGAAACAAGCTGTGGCACAGAGGTACAGTGGGTCATCCACTAATTGGAAGATCAGCGGTTCGATCCCCAGATCCTCTAGCTCGCATGTCGAAGCATCCCTGAGCAAGATACTGAACCCCAGTTGGCTCCCAGTGGCTGCTCCATCAGTGTGTGAGTATGTTCAAAACTGAATGGGTGAATGTGACTCGTTGTGTAAAAAGCCCTTTATACAAGTACAGGTGTAATTAGCTTCCATTTTACCATTTAAAATTCTAAACTGTGAGTAAATACAAGTTTGAAAAACACAGGGATGCAAAATGGATGACAAAAAAAGTGTTTTCGAGGTTATTAAATAAGAAGAGGAAGTGCTGAAGAAAGAGAGGGTTAGTAGCAAATGAGATTAAGGCATTAGAGGGCTAAATACTGTGTGATTGGTATTAAGTTTTGATTCTGCAGATGTTTATTGGCACGGCACACTCACACTTCCATTCAGAAGTCCTCAGTAAATTTTAATAAAAGACTACGCACTTCTGCTTAATTAATTTAGTCCTGAAAGGAAACCAAACAAAGAAAAACACAAGAGGAAAAACAGCCCAAACAAAGGCTGTGAACTGAAGGCCAGAAACCAGTGTTGAGTCTTTGTTTGAGCTGATTTGTGGGGAGCCGTGTGAAGAGGTCAGGGGAGGTCAGCAGAATACGAGATTAGGCCATTAGAGGGAGAGGACTTTGTGCCGGTATAATCCCCTCATCATAATCTCTCTTTCTCCCTCCCTGCTGCTAATGGCTGCAAGACAATAAGATGCACTAATCTGTCTACTGGGATGGCACAGGGCTGCGCAGAGATATCTACTGGAGCGCAGAGCACATATAGACTAAAATGTTTTGAAGATTATTTCCCTGGCATTTCTGCTTTATTAGATAGAGCCCAGTGGGGGGAGGCAGGGACCATGGGGGAGACACAGAGGGTGAGATAGTCGGGAAAAGACTGGGAGGAAAATCTAAAGTTTAGACTGCTGGTGTTTGTGTGCCGTATACATTTTCATTTTGGTTAAATAGTGCTAAAATGGCTCGCAGGCAGGAACAAGTGATGCAAGATGGTGAAACGTCTTCCGACTTCAGTCAAAAGCCATAAATCAGATGAGCTGCCAGTTCGGTTTAAATTTCAAAGGTGATTCCACCAAATTTCAGCTTTGATATGAGGCGGACTCAAGCTGGTTTAAAACATATGTTTGGCGTGTTGTTGTTGGGGTCCAGAGTGTAGGATTTATGGGGATATGTTTTGGAATATAACATGTTAAGTATGTTTTCTTTATATACACATTATATTCAATTTTGTTTAGTTTACTTGTGAGGGTAAAATGGAGCGTGAGATGGATAGGTGGCTTGGGAAGAGGAAGGAAGCTGAGCCAGTAGGCAAAGCTTTTGATTCACTGGTCCATCTACATCCCAACCCTCACCCCTGGTCATGAGCTCTGAGTAGTGACTGAAAGAATGAGATTGTAGATACAAGCGGCCTTAATGAGTTTCCTTAAGGCTCATTTATTCTCCCTTGATGTACAAAAATAAATATATCCGTTTCAAATATTGTAAACGTCGCTGCCCTCATGTGTCCTTTATGATGGCAGAGATGCAGCCAATACATGGCGCTAGAGAGCAGAGTCAAAAGTTTCACGGCAACAAATGAGGTGAGAATAATCTTTTAAACAGAGGCAGGGTTGTAGACGGCGGTGGTCTTTGCAGCCACTACATACACCCCAACATGTGAGCAGAGAATTCTTTTTAGCATATTACAAATTCGTTCTGTTCTGACGTTATTTAAATTTGTCGTATCTCACTTGAACTGCTCTGCTCTGCCTCCACGATCTCTGGTGGAACTGCTCCATTTTGTCTGTATCTGCAAACTTTAAGAAAACATGCACAAATTCAGACAAATGGACAGATGGCTCCGTCCATCTTTGTATCTAACATTGAGCATAAATGAGCCCTTAGAGAAGGAGCTCGGAGTAAAGCTGCTGCTCCTTCATGTCAAAAGGGGGCCAGTTTAGTTTGTTTGGGCATCCAATCAGATTCCTCCTGAGCGCCTCCTCTAGACATTTTCCTGACATGTCTATCTGGTAGGAGGCCCCGGGGTTGACCCGGAACATGCTGTAGGGATTATATATCTCATCTGGCCTGGGAGCACCTCGGGGTCCCCCAGGAGGAGCTGGAAAGCGTTGCTGAGCACAGGGACGTCTGGAGTACTTTGCACAGCCTGCTGCCGCTGCTACCCAGCCCAGAATAAGCGGATGAAAATGTATGGATGTATGGATGTTTTCTTTAGCATATAGTCACCTCAAAATAGGAATCATTGTGTTTTTGTTACCTTAGAGTGAACCGTTTATACCTCAGCAAGTCCTCGTCTACTGAGATCACCATGTTGCAGTGCCATGTTTCTACAGAGGCCCATCATGGACAAACCAAACGCTGGCTCTAGATAGGGACATTCATGTTTTCACATTCACGTTATTCATGTTTCTCGCCATAGTTAGACGAGCAGCATCAGAGAAACACTGATTCAAATGTGAAACTGCTTTATTTAAAGTTTTTATCAGCCTAAATCACCAGGTTCATTTGTTTTAAGGAGGAAGAGACCTCTGTGGGTAATTTGGCTCCCTGTGAAAACCTCCAATGAGCACTGATGGAATTCTGACCAAAAGTCTCAGGCGGTTGCACTTTGCAATCCTCGCTGCTAGACACCACTAAATCCTCCTCGTAAACACTGGACCTTTAAGTGAGATAGTGCAAAGGAAAAAAAAAATAGTTGGGTAAATATCTGTTGTCTGTTGGTCGGAGGGTTTGCCTCTTTGCTCCAGACTGGAATACCTCAAAAACCATTGTGTGGATTACTATGAAACTCTGTACAGATGTTCATGACCTCCAGAGGATGAACCCTCATGACTTTGATGACCCCCCTGGCTCTAAGGCTCCACCACCAGCAGGTTGATATTTGTGGAGTTTTTTGTATCTACGACTGTTGGATGGATTTCCATTAAATGTTGATGTCATGATCTCTGAGGTGATCCCCTTTTGGTTTATCTCTGTAGCAGTTTGGATTTCTCTATGCCTCAGAGAGCCGCTAAAGTGGCTGTAGACTCTTCGTCCTGTCTCTTTATGTCTCTGCACGCCGTTCACACAAAAAATAGACCAAAAAAAAAAAAAAACAGGATCTGTGTTCATGCAGACTTTTTGCAATAGGTGAAGGGGAGAAGACAAAGTTAACTTCAAACTCAAGTAATAAATTCATGAGGTTTGAAGGTTATCTGATGCTAAAACACGGCACAGCATTTGAGATTATAAGGATTTTACAACTGAATTACCACGAATAGTTTTATCCTCCACTTCAGTGATCTCAAGGTAAACAAAAGTGTTCACGTTATGAAGTAAAATCCAGGGAAGTGGGATTGATTTTTCATTTTGGCCAATGCAGTGCAGTCTGTTGCCAGATGACGTTGCATTACGTCATGATTAAAATCGAGCCAGATTTAAAAAAAACAAAAAAAACAACATTTTTGCTGAGTGATGGCATTTGAGACACCACAGGTGGAAACAGTTTTTCATGCACTGGTGCTAATCCTAGATTTGAATCAAGAACTTGTATCAGCAACAAAGCCCTCACTGCAATATACCCAAACTCCTTTTTTTTCCACCAAAGAAATACCGATCAAAAATTCCAAATGTCAAACAGTCCCTTTATGGAAAATGGCCTTTCTAATGGCTGATAAAGACAGACATCCTAAGTGGTTTTAATGTCAGCTCCTCTCGCCGTCTCTGTCCGTCTGTTCTGTTTCTGTCTCTCTCATACTCTACCAGTGGGTCAGGACCTAAAATGGGTCACAGGCCTATGTTTAATAGATCCCCATACGACCACATTAGTGATATGCCTCAGTCCAGGTCCCATGATGAGAGGCTAAATGTTTCATTTGGGTCCCAGGCTGAAAAGGTTTAAGAGCGCTGGTCCTAAATGATAGCTAGACCTCGAGCTCAGCGGCGAACTGTAAGGGGACAGCGAGTCCTTGGCCTTCACTCTGCGTCTCACCCTGGCACAGTGAAGGGGTCTGTCCACAGCTGATAAGTGGTTTTAATTTGATCTCCTCTCTCTTCTTTTCTGCTCCCTCTCTCCTCGCATATTTCCTCTCCCTCCATATTCGTCGCTGCATCCTCACATCACCCTTATTCACTCTTTTCCCCGTCTCAACCCCCTCTTTTCCCCTCATCCCTCCCTCCTCTTGTCCCTATCCCTTTCTGTCCTAGATGATGGCTTGGCTCCAGCTGTGGAGTACGGGGCTTACGGCCATTATGGCCTTGTCCTTCTCTCTTGCTGCTACTGAAGATTTGGGCCTCCCTGCGATGGCAGCACAGCAGCGAGGCCCTGTCGAGATTGTGAAGAAGGAGAACCATCCCGTCCTGTTCAGGCAGAAGAGAGAGTGGATCTGGAATTCTCTGTATGTGGAAGAGGAGAAACCTGCACCTATCGCCTACAAGATCGGACAGGTAGGAAGCTCACAGTTAGAACAAGAAGGTCTATTTCCCAGGCCCAGCTTCTGTGGTTTAGTCTTTAAATGTTCAGTAATCTACTTGCCATGGCAAATGTGTATTTTTGTCACTTCCATTCAGTTTTAATGCTGCAGCATGCCAAGAATCTGGGGCATTAACTTGTTGGTAACCAGCCCTTTGATGAATATCTGAGCGATTTTGCTGGAATGCTCTGTTTATTTGTGGAAAACTTGCTGGAAGGTTGTTGATTTGCGTCTTCACTCCAGCTGGGAAACTGCTGAAAAACATTTTTTTTTTTTTTTTTTATCTCTGACAGCTGAAGTCAAGCCAGAAAGTGGAGGTGAAGAGCTTCAGAATAGAGGGTGAAGGAGCAAACACCATCTTCACCGTAGATCGCAAAGGAGACCTGTTTGTTACCAGATCTCTGGACAGAGAGGAGAAGAATGCGTACCATTTGACCGCCAGGATGTATGATGGGAACAACCAGCTGATAGAGGACTCTGGAGACTTTGTCGTCCAGGTGACGGATATCAATGACAACACTCCAGTTTTCCCCAGACCATATAATGGATCCATAATGGAGAGATCCATGATAGGTGAGTCTGGTTACGATCAAAAACAATCATCAGCAGGTTGAGAAGTTGCTCACAGTTTTGTTTTTCAATGTGTGATGGAATAAAGAGATAAGGGCCAAATTTGGTTGGTGATGCCTGTCAAGCTGCAACCACTGCGGACCACTGTTTAAGACTCACAAAAAAACAAAACCAGTTGTGTTATAGCAAGTTATTGCTGTTTTCTCAGCTGCTTTTTAACCCCAAAGTGTGGGTGTTTTGTTGTGAGCTGTTGCAGTTTTTCCAGCAGTGTTTTAGGCACTAAATATTGGTGTTTTGTAGTGACCAGTCACTTTTTTCCCAGCTGTGTTTTAGGCACTAAATATTGGTGTTTTGTAGCAACCTATCACTCTTTACAGCAGATTTTTAGATGCCAAATGGTGATGTTTTGTGGCAACTGGTTTCTGTGTTTCCTGCAGCTTTTTAGAGCCAAAACATTGGTGTCTTGTAGTGACCAGTCATTGTTATTCCAGTGGATTTTTAGGCACCAGATGATGGGGTTTTGTAGCATCTGGTCACTGGGTTTGTTGCAGCTTTTTAGCCCCAAAATATTTGTGTTTTGTAGCAACCTATTGCTTTTTCCAGCAGATTTTTAGGCACCAATGGTGATGTTTTGCAGCAACTGGTTGCTGTGTTTCCTGCAGCTTTTTAGACCCAAAACGTTGGTGTTTTGTAGTGACCAGTCATTGTTATTCCAGTGGATTTTTAGCTCCAAAATGTTGAAGTTTTTCCAGCTGTGTTTTAGGCACTAAATACTGGTGTTTTGTAGCAACCTATCACTTTTTACAGCAGATTTTTAGGTGCCAAATGGTGATGTTTTGTGGCAACCAGTTTCTGTGTTTCCTGTAGCTTTTTAGACCCAAAATTATTATTATTCCAATGGATTTTTAGATGATGGTGTTTTGTAGCAACCTATTGCATTTTCCAGTTGCTTTTTAGGCACCAAATGGTGGAGTTTAATGAAAACCAATCCTAAAACCGGTCACTGTTATTCCTGAGGCTTTTTAGCCCTCAAACATTGGTGTTTTATATTGGCCCATCATTATTTTTCCAGCAGTGTTTTAGGCATCAAACGGGGTGTTTTTTAGCGAACCATTGCTGTTTTTGCAACTGGTATAGCATCACAAAAAGCCACCCTTTCTCAGCCAAGGTGGTCGGAGAGACACCTAGGCAAGATGCCTGCGAAGCTGCAAAACTGTTTGTGATTTGGTGAGTCACTGCTGTGTTTCCAGCAGCTTTTTAGGCAGCAAACGTGGCAATTTTGTAGCAACCCTTTGCTGTATTCCCAGCGGGGTTTGTACCCCCCAACCCGGTCTTTTAAGCCAAAATCATGATCTCTTTCCCTAAAGATAATGAAGTGGGTTTTGTGCCTAAACCTAACACCACATTAACTACAGCACTGTTGACACATAAAGTGTCAACACATCTGCTACATCATAATGAACAAATGTAATGTTTCCGTAGTTTGCAGAAACATACAATGACTCCATACCCTAACCAAATTCTTGCAGAACAAAGTTTCTGTTGCAGCAAGTATGTATGACATTTACCAACCAGTGGTAATTTAGATCAAAAATAGACTGGACTGTGAAAAGTCTGGGAAAAACAAAACATAGTGTCAACACCTGTCACAAGCATTAGCACACCCCTCAGTGGAAAAAGGCACATTGCTGACTTAAATAACACAATCTTAGCACATAATCACATTGTATTAATCAGTTAAATAGCCCTAATGTTCAATACAAGAACATTTACAAAATACAGTACGCTGTAGCATGATGTCTTGACTGCTTTTTCATCTAGGAACTAAAGTAGTTGAGGTGAGGGCGACTGATGCTGATGACCCCACCACTGCTAATGGAGAGCTCAGGTACTCTTTGACCCCAGGCGGAGACCTTTCTGCCTTTGAAATCGACAGCATCTCAGGTAGGCTCGCTGCACCGACGTCCCACATGATGTTTACCTGCAGCAACATTGTCTTTTTCTTCCTTAACAAGTTAATGAAAGTTGATGTGTCGATGCACAAGCTATTTTTACTTCAACATGACTCAGAGCTGACCTCAGACACCCTCTCTTTGTGTCCGTGTCTCTCACCGTCTCTCTGCAGGTGTGATCAGCTGCAAGACAAACACTCTGGACCGGGAAACCAAGGGTCAGTACATAGTGGTGGTTAAAGCTCAGGACATGAGAGGAATGGCCTCTGGCAGCACATCCACCACCTCCGTCACCATCACCATCACCGACATCAACGACAACATAGCTTCTTTCACCCGAAGTAAGGACTATTTTAGAGGGAATGGTTCTCTTTGTACTTGTTTTTACGATCAGAGTTGAGTCTGTACATATTTACTTTAACTGTCTTTAGCTGCCTTCACATGATAAAGAAATTAGCTCAGCAAAACGCAGAGGTAATGTCATACATCATCTCAGCAACAGCAGTTGTAGACCATTTTGTGTTGGTTAAACCTCAAAGAAGAAGATGGTTCTGTGAACGATTCATTTGAGTTTATTTCAAGAGGAAGCCCTGGCGATTGTCTCTTAGACCAGAGGCTTAGAAGAATAGCCTCTGTCACTTGTGTCTAAGCTAACTTTCGCATTGGATTTGGTTAAGTTTGTAAACTACAGGCTTATTCACAAACTGATATTTTGCCATGCATTACTTTTACTGGCCAGATTGTAGGATGCCTTTAATCTTGTGTTGTAGACTTCAGGAAAGAGAGTGAGGTTTTCTTCCATCACTCTCTACCTCCCCTGCTTTCTGTCGCTACTCCCTTCCGGCTACCTCATATGCAGCTGTTATCTCATTAGCTTTAAAAGGTCAGCGGCAAATGACATCAAGGTTGATATAGTTTGAACTTTGAGCACATTGCACCGTTTCAATTTTGAGCGGCGCCCCATGCCAAGGGTAACACTTCCACCCAGTTTGGCACCACTACCGCTCTCCCTTTAGGAAAACAATGGCACAGCCAGAGGACGGCTTTATATTCACAGCGATGTCTGTTTTCTGTCTGCAGAGACGTATGAACTGCACGTTCGTGAGGACCACAAGTTGAATGAGAAGATTGGCACTCTGGAGTTGGAGGACAGGGATCAGATCCAGAACAAAGAGCCCATCTTCGTCATTCCAAGTGAAAACAGCAAAGTGTTTAACACTGAACTCAGCCCCAACAAGGATGGCAACCTCATGCTCAAGCAGGTAGGAGGCTCACGTGATAACGAACTAACAGACAATGTCTCAAGGCTAAACATTTTCTCATTCATTTGGATTTTAGACTTTTAGTGAAGTTGCTGCCATGTTTTCCATCTCAAGTGCCTCTTCATTTTTCCTCTTAAGTATTTCACATCAGAGAAAACAGAGTGGCATATATAAATCTATAGAGAACATTTATATCATGGAATTACCCCCAAATCTTTTTGTAGTGACTGGGTTGCTAATCTAATCTCTAGTACCCACTGGAGTAGAAAATCCCCCCCCCCCAAAAAAACAAAAAAAAAACAACATATACATGTAGGTAGCTTATTTTCAAAGGTCACTTCATATCAAGCTTTGGTGTGATGCTTATTTTACATTTTAGGACTCAAAGTGGTGTGAGACATGCAGGCATCAGAACATTATAAACATCTGAGAGCTGAGCATCAAGGATCAAGGTCACAGTGCTTCCATGACTCCATGACTGATGTATTGACATTAGTGGTTTTTGGTTATGACTCCCTACACATTGTGCCACCACATGGCCACCAATTATATATATATATATATCAAAAAAGCAATATTAAAAAAAATGGGAGTTTTTTGCAGGAGAATGATGCGTAACAGAGAATTTAAACCCAAACATCTTGGCCTCCTTCTGGTTAGGAGAGCTATTTCTGCTCGCACGTATACTTCACTGGATTGTGCTCTTCAGATAAAGTATTTGGGACATCAGAGGGCTGAAAATGTATTTTAATGAACTGAGCTCTGTCATAGCTTGTACCCACGCTGGCCTGGAATCGAATCGCACCACAATCTTCTCTCTGCTCGGCTCGTCCCTCAGCTCTGCAGCCCCTCTCATCGTTCTCACCGGCTGTGTTTACAGAATAAGCCAGCTATCGGCCACACTGCGGCTAAGGTCTTATTCTTGTTAAGCTGTTTACACATGCCTTTGATACCCTGCGACTGAGTATCCCTGTTACCGTGAATAATCCAGTTAACAGAATATCCCTGCCTACCTGTGGTGTCCCATCCACAGATAAAACAGTCCGCCAGAACAACATTTAACTCAACTGTAGGCTGTTTCTTATACAGGGAGAGAAATGATAAGCAGAAATGTGACAGTAAGCAGTGCTTGCTGCCATATATTTGTTGACATGAAAGTGCATTCGTGACACTGTGCAAGTCTCAGTTTGTGCAGATGTTGTAAAAGTGAAAGGAAGGAGGTGTTTTCATGCATGGTAACATGTTTAACATGAAGGGGAAATATGGCACTCCACCATGTTTCCTAAATCCAGAGAGTATATGAGCTGAACCAGGTTGTTTCAGTTGAGTTGTGATGTTTAGAGCCTTTTTACACCTGGCATAGAGAGATGTCCTTGGTGAACAGACGCAGGTGTGAATGCACTGAGGATGACGATAGGAGATGCATTTAAGCGCATGAAAAATAAAGTGCAAATGCACTTTAATGTGTCGCCAGTCTAAAAATAAGAGCAATATACGTGGACGCACCTTAGGATGAATCCAAGTATGGAACATTTTAACTTTGTTGATGGGTGAGGATGTACTTGGGCACTGAAGTTAAGTATCAAAAATAGTAATGAGGGAAAGTGACACTGAGTGAGTTAACTACATTTTGGCAATAAGAAGAAGATCCCACACACTGCTCTTGCCCTGCTTCACAATTTATTGAATATACTAACATCTTTGGACCTTCATCAAGAGTACTTAACTGCCTTTCAGCTTTCATAAATCATAAAAAATTGTCCAACGTTGTAAAGTCTTCAGCCCTGCTTATATCTAGAGTGTCTTAATCTAATTGAATCTTTTTAGATTCAAGAATCCTAGTAGGAGACATTTAAGATTTCTAGCTACATTAGACAACATAAACATGAAATGCAAAACAAAGAATAGAGCCTTGTAGGTATTGACACACAATTTTTACAATGCATTATGTGGTGGTGAGCACAAAATGTGTTGAAATGACATTACAAATCAGTGTTTCTCCCACACTGTTCTGTAACTGGTGAACCAGGTGAGAGTGGACTCAAACTGGAGACAGTTCAGGTCTTTGCTGGTCAAAATGTAAGTTCAGGATGAGGCAGAGTCAATCAACAGGCTAAATCCAAAAAAACAAGAAAAGGACACAGGGAAACAAAAGGCTGGAGCGCTAGACACACAAGGATCTGAGAGGCCGTTTACACGCTATTTTCATAAACGGACATTTCACTGTCTCCGTTTTCAAAAAGATCTTCGTTTACACTTACCCGTGTATATATACACACAAGAGCATGCCAAACCTGTAGGTGGCAGTGTAACGAGAAGCTCAAGCCTTCCATGTATCCATTGTCACCATAGCAACATAGGTCGCACTTTTGACACAGGCGCAAGTTCTGGCGCATACTGTGACGTCGGCTGCCTATAACTCCGTTTATCTCCGTTTATCTCAGTTTACATGCAAACGCGCAACCGGAGTTTTCCAAAATCTCCACTCTGGCCGGAGTTTTTAGAAAGACTCATTTTCAGAGGAGAAATCTCCGTTTGCATGTAAACGAAGGGCACAAACGAAGGAAGATGTCTCCGTTTATCAAAATCACCGTGTACGTGTAAACGGCCTCTAAGACAAACTGGCACTGAGAGAAAACAAGACACACACTAAATACTCTGGTGAGGGGAAGGATAACGAGACACAGGTGAGGCTAATCAGGGCGGGTCAGACATGCAGACACAGGTGAAGTCATCCAAAGGGAGGGAAAACACACAGGGGCAGGAAGTGAAGTGATCTGAAATGAGAGGAGATGTGAGTTTCAAAGTAAAACAGGAATAAAACAAAAGCTGAGAAACTTGAGCTGTGACATGTTCGACATGTCAGAGCCGGACCATCAGCCCAGCACCTCTAAATATATAACTTAAAAGGATAGTGCACCCAAAAATAAAAATTGGAGGGTGACGGCGCCCCAGATTCAAACGTCAAAAACACATAATTGAAACCACAAAATATCTCCATACTGCTCATCTGTAGTGATCCAAGTGTCCTGAAGCCCTGACATAAAAAGTTGTTTGTAAAAATGTCGCACACTTAAGCACACAGAGAGGCAGTTAGAGCTACAATGAGGCTAAAAACAGAGTTCAAATTATGTTTTGGGATCTCCGCAAGGGATGTGAGGACTCTAAAACTTCATCTGAGCCTCCCTCAGCAAATGGGTGAGTAGATAATGGCTGAATTTTCATTTTTGGGTGCACTATCCCTTTAAGATCCAGATGTTTAGTAGATTTTTATCCACAGAGGTTCAGATCAAACGGACCAGCTGATTTAAACTGATAAAACACTGAATGAAGCAGTTTCATATTTTTAAAAATAAATGTTTTTCTTACACACTTGTCATGGCAACATGCTCTCACTCTGACCTCGTCACATATCAGCGTTTGGTCATGGACTTTCCACGTCGACATAGACGTGCAAGGTACCCTGGATGCGTTTGTTGTTGACATTCTGGGACGTCGTGTCAATTTCAGCCTGTTACATGCATTGTCTGTTTTCAAAATACACTTCCGTTTTCACAGGAAATGTACAGTTTGCATACAGTCTCTTTCAAAATAAAAGCACTATGTTGGTATAACACTGCAAATTGCCATTTTATTTCCTTCAACAACGCACATAAGCATTTTTCCTTCCCAAAACCTCACCAAACTGTGACCTTTTTGCAGCAAAACTGCAGCCCTTGGTAATAGCACTGGCGTTGTTTTCATGTTACCAGCATGTAATTTTAACACATTTGTGCCCAAAGGGACAAAGTTGTGTGCACATATAGACAAAGCCAGTGCAAGGACTGGAAGAGCTCATAATAGGTTGTGTGTGCCCAATACTACATTACATCTCGATCTAATCTTGACTTGTTGTGGACTCTCTCTGGGCTCCCCAGGCTCTGGACTACGAGACGACCCCCAGCTACAGTTTCACCATCCAAGTGAAAGAAAACCTGAGAAACCTGCGCTTTCCTGCCGACAACGTGAACAGCGCCGTCACCTCAGCTCAGGTGAGTGTCAGACAGGACTATCTGTGGTCTCCGAAACGTCCCCCAGGATTGTCATTAAACCCTACTTTGGATTAATATTTTGTAAAAACAGGAAGGAACTGAATCAAAATTAATTCAGCTGATTACCAAGGCAGAAACATACGGCTCTGTCTGCATCAGTGGAAAGGAAAATATGTTATTTTTTGGTAAAGTCTACTCCAAATTTGCATCTTAAATAGCAGACTATACAGAACAGAGCTGCACGTGGTTTTATGTGTTGGTAAGATTGCTCTTACTTTGGCTGTTCAGGGTGATACGGGTTTGATTCCTGAATCAACAAGGTGAAAATGTGAAATGATGAGACTGTGGCATAATTTGCTTAATATATCAGAAAACAGGGTCAATGAGAATGTTTGTCTTTAGAGTGCACGATTCTCCATGGACTACAGAGCTTCATGCTGTTTTTGAGAAAGCTGAATTACAATATATGTAAAGGAATCATTTTTTATGCGGTGTGAACACAATGAGAGGTTGTTGTTTAAAATATATCTTGTTAAAACATATATTCAAATCAAGCACAATTATGGGAGAGAACCTTTTGTGAAACGTATAGGGTAGTCAAAGGTTTTTAGCTGCACAGTTGGGAACAGGAATTGTTACTCCGGCTCTTGAAGCTGGCAGTTTTAAAAACATCCAGGAGGACAACAGGTTGTGTGAGTTATGCAAATTAGGAGATGTTAAGAATTCTTCTGTGTTATCTTCTTGTTCAGTGACTTGACAATATCTATATATAGTTAAATGTCTGCTCAAAATCCAGAGGTGTTTTGGTGCAGTGATAATGACAGGATGGTCATTAGCAATACTTGTTTCTAAACTTGGAAAAAATGTCAGGATGGTTCATTAGCTCGGCATTATTGCAATGTATGTCGCTTCTGTCTCTTTTTCTCAATAATGGTGTCTCATAAGCCTGTTTGGGCCAGGCATATATGCATGACATTATTCTAAAAAGATGTAATCAACCAAATCATACAGAAACAAACTCAATTTAAAAGATAAATTATTTGGAAACTGGAGAGCTGGTTCTTTTCTCCCTGTGAATACTGCAAATTTATGAGTAGAGCTGTTGAGGCCGAGGTGTGCAGGTGTGCAGCCTCGAGGAAAATGTTGGCATTGTATTGTGCATGTGTCATACATATGATGTTAACCTTTTTAAAGTGACATAGGAGACTAGTTGGTTTTTAATGAGTCATTGCTGTTTCCAGCGGCTTTTTAGGCACCAAACATGAGTCTTTTGTAGTGACATGTTATTGTTTTTCCAGCGGGTATAGTGCCATAAAAGGGGTTGTTTTATACAGAGACATTGTTGCATTTCACACCGGGATAGTGGCACAAAAGGCGGCGAGACATTGCTATATTTCTTGCTGTCATATGCCCTTTTTAGATAGGAATTGTGCAAATTTGCAGGAAAGCCCAATCAGTCTTTTTTCAGTATTGGCAGTATAAAAACAAAATCGGGGAGTGCAGCAAAATGCCGCCTACCTACTTTTGTTTATACAGAATGTGCCTTTTTCGGGGCAATGGGGAGCGTGAGCAAGTAACAAAACGTGTAGCTCAGCGTGTGACGTAAACAGTGACGTGGGAGGGAAGCCGCGGCTGGTCAGTCCTTCGGTGATTCTCTCATAAGTCGGCCCGTCCTTCACCGTCCCCGTCATCTGACAGTTAATGGCCTCTTCGTTTGTGAGGACAAAGAGGGCGCGCAATTCCTTGTCTCCCCAGTTGCTCATCGTTTCCCTCCTGCTACTAGCTGCTCATTCCTGCTATCAGCTGTTTCCTGTTTATCCACCGCCAGTGGGTCACACATGCAGCGTCATCAACAGCTCCTCCCACAAGTCATCAACAGCCCCTCCTGTGGCGGAAGGCCGTCTGTTCTGTTTAAACCAAAAAGGTTCCGCCAATATGTCTACCCTACGAGACGTTGCTGCATTTCTTGCATGATAGCAGCACAAAAAGTGGTTGTTTTGTACCAAGATTACTGCATTTCCTGCCGGGATGTTGGCATGAAAAATAGTTGTTTCTGTACCGAGACAGATAGCTGTATTTTCTGCAAGGATAATGGCACCAAAACTGAGATATTGCTGCTTTACCAGCAGGGATTGTGCCCCTAAAACCGTGTATTTTTAGCCAAAGCATGATCTTTTCCGAACCATCACCAAGTGGTATTTGTGCCTCAACCTAAACATATCAACCACAGCATTGTTGAAACATTAAGTATTAACATATCTAACTCTCTAACTATCTAAATGACTTTAAATCGACAGGTAATCATCAAGGTGCTGGATGTAGACGAGGCACCGGTTTTCTCGCAGCCCATTTACACTTTCAATGTGGTGGAGGAACGAGTTGTGACCAACATCGGAGCAGTCACTGCCAGAGATCCTGACAAAGCCAACAAGAGCATACGGTACGACGCTGTGCAAACCTCTAATAAGAACAAACAATGCTGCTAACTCTGCTTAATTTCTGTAACTCATCTCCCTGTGTGTGTTTAGGTACTCCATCTTAGACAAGGACTGTCCGATCAGTATCAACCCGCTCACAGGTCAGCTGTCCACCCTGAGGACGCTGGACAGAGAGCTGGAGGCCACACACATGTTTCAAGTTAAGGCACAGGAGGAGCCAAATGGTACGTCTCATACACACATACACACACACATTGCACAACTTTATTAATCTTGTTTTCTTTAAACAATAGAACTTCAGATAAAAATTAAAACCATGTGTTTCCTTTAACAACGGTAATGTGCGTACAGGGAGGGAGTTAGAAAAGCCAATAAAAGACAGTGTGTTCTCTTGTTGTTCACTGAGCAGCTCCCCTGGATTTATTGAGGGATGGGAGTGTAACACATTAACAGGGACTTTTAAAGATCGAACATATTGTCTCAACACCTGGTCGACCCACACGGGAAGGAGAGAGTAAGCAGGAAAATCACATTAGTGGGTCTCTTTGTTCACTCGCAGCTTCCAAACCAAACTATATATTTTTAGACCAGCAATGAATGAAATCCAGAGATCTATTTTAGTGTCTTGTCACGATGTTTAAGGAACACAATGGTCCCCTGAGCTTGACAGGGTCCTCGATATACAGTACATGTACTGTACTAAAGATAGTTTCAAGATCTCAGCACAAGAGGCAGGAGAGAGAGAGAGAGAGAGCCACGCGTTTATCAAAAGATAAATATATTTAAAACATCAGTGATGTAAAATAAGTGTGCTTTAAGTGACGAAAAGAAAAACTGTCAAACAAAAAGCTCACAAATAGAAATCCTTTCAGGCACTTGACCTTAATCAGATCCATTAAAGACAGAGATGCACAGACCTGATCAGCATCACGTCTAATCATTTTTTAAAGGCATGTGACAAACAGGCTGTTTAAAGTGAGCCACATCACACAACGTGAAGCTTTAAAAATTTAATGAACAAAAATGCTACAAAACCTTTGGGAGCTCGTTGAAATTACGAGACTTCTAGCAGTAAATTGCAGATTGTAACCAGCTAAAACTTCTCCCAGTTAAAATTCCTGCAATGTTCAATGTTCAGGAGGTTTTAATTCGGAGCTGAATTATCCACAGAGGTCTTTTCCTCTTTGAAACGAACAGACCAGGTGATTTAAACCAGTAAAAACACAGAATAAAGCAGCTTCACGTTACAAATCAGAGCATCTTTGACGCCATTCAGCATCTCAGAGACGAGTGGCTTCGTCCACAACATGCTATTATTTGCACACCGCTTTTTTCTCATAAGTTAATGTGTGCTCACCTTCTCTGATTTGGACATCCAGGAGGTTTTTACTGTGTGCCGAATTATCCACAGAGGTCTCTTCCTCTCCAAAACAAAGTGATTTAAACCATTTAACACCGAATAAAGCAGCTTCACGTTACAAATCAGGGTAGCTCCACCGCTGCTCATCACAGATGGGCTTTGTCTCATTCTTAAGTCATCGAATACAGACGCTTTGTCAGTGACTTCTGGCGTCAGACATCAACGACAAAAGCCATCCTTTAACGTCAACATTATATGCGGCCGGTCATTGTTATTGTTTAATGGTGCCTGGCAGTGTCAGTGGGAAACACGGCCAGATAACAGTGTGGTTTAAGGGGCAAAAAGTCAGAGTAGGGTGGGTGGGATGGGTGGTGGATGGGTCCAGTGAGGATGTATTGGCTTCTTACTATTGCGGCTGATGCAAAAACGTAAAACGTGAATGTTTTTATCTTAGAACCAGTGTTTGGTTTGTCCGTTCTGGGCTACTGTAGAAACATAGTGGTGCAACATGGCAGTCTCTGTAGATGAGGAACCGCTCCCTATGTGGATATAAACAGCTCCTGAAAACACAATGATCCTTATTTTCAGGTAATTATACATCAAAGAAACCATACTTTTCAAAGCATATTCCATTTCTGCCAATATATCACCCTAAATCAGACACTGGATCCTTCAAATGTCTTCGATAACTAAAACAATTTGTTTTCTTGTTTGCACAATGGCCTGTGATCTCTGTCTTAACAAGATGATTTATTTTCCCTTCACATATGCATTAACTAAGATTACATGAAAAACATGACAAATCCCTGAAGGCAACTCTCCGTCTATTTCTATTGTCAGCACACTGTGAGACAGATTGGACAAGATAAGACAGTGCTAAAGTACCAAAGACATTTATCATTACACTGCAGTTAATCATCTGTCATTGTCTGTTCTCTGTAGGTTTGGAGTCATTTGTTAAAGTTAACATTATAGTTCAGGACATCAACGACAACAAGCCTGAACTGACCGTGGATGAGATCTTCGTATGTGAGAACGACCCCACGAACACGGTGAGAAAAGCACAGTGTTTATTTACAGCAGGCTATCACTGGATTTATGTGTGTTGTGTTTGTATTAAAAAAGTAGTAAAACTCACAGATCTTATATTTACTTAGTATTGATGTAGCCACCCTGCAGGACTAACATGCAGGAGACTGATGGGTAGTTTATGGGAGGATGATGTTGCCCCTTGTTCAGCTGGACAGGCAAAGAATTCTCATAGAGTGATTCTATGACGAGCTGTCGCCCTTGTTCCATAAACAAAGTTCGTGTCCAGGTTTCATTAATTGAAGTCTTTTTGTCTTTCCTCAGGTGATAGGAACCTTGAGAGCCACAGATAAAGACGACCAGCCGGCCTCCTTCACTTTCAGCCTGGCCAGCGAGAGCTCCAACTTCTCCATCAGAGACTACGGCAGTAAGTCTCTGTGTGCACTGAGCATATTTACCTCTCTCTTCTTGCTTGTTGCTCTAAACGGTGCTCGCAGGAAGCACTGGCCTCGGCACTTGTTGCTATGCAACGACTGGAACTCCATTTGAGGCTCAGTGCTTTGTTGCTGAAAGTTGAAATTATTTTAACTTCTCAAAACATGCTTTGGTTCTTGCAGCCAGACGGGGGATTTAGAGAGCCTGTCTGGGACCGTAAGTGCCGTCTAGAATGCACAACAGCAAATATTGAAAATAATGAGAGCGAGTGGCTCGGTGGACTTGCAGATGACTCTCTGTATTCTGAACTCATCCCGGCTAAGGATGTTAAAGGAACACGCCACACAAACAGAGACACCGTGGTGCTGTGCAAGAAAATCATGGAGAAAAGAAAAGAGCACCAAGAGGCTAACTCCAACATATTCTCACTCCGACCTCGTCACATATCCTTTTACTCCATACTTTTGGTCATAGACTTTCCATGTCGCTGCATCGATACTGTTAACGAGCCTTTTATTGTCCCTGCCTGGATGCAGATGAGAACCGATCTAAACCCACTTTATACGCTGTACGTTAACATAAACAAAGACCATGTTTTCTGATGATGAATTATCTCCAACCACATAAATAATTCAATTCACATAAGCCTAACACGCAGTCCTCTACTAATTATTGAGCAGCGGTGATTAGCCTAAATATCGAGATTCTAATTTAGTAGAGACAAAACTTTTTTTTCCAACTACATGTAGATCAGTTCACAACCAGTTTGGCTCCACCCACAAAATACATCATTGCTGTTTGCAAACACAAAACGGGTCACCGTGCTTGAAGTTTTCAGATCAGGCCGAAGCCACTGAAAGTCCACACAAGCGAACTTGGTACTGATAATTAGTTTTAGTTTCACCTGCTGCCCGTTCTCAGAACCCATCGGCTGTATTCGGCGTCTGACTTCCGGCAGACGGCGATACAGCCTCTGGGGGCAGACCTCCGATTTTTTGGCATTCCAGTTTGATTTGGGTGGAGGAGGCGAATTTCCGTTTCCGACTTCCCTTTATATATAAGTAAACATGCTGAACCATTGTGATGGATTCAGAGTTTGCAGTGATGCCAATTATGTTCCACCTGGTTAGTTCACCGCACGGAGCGTTTAACCTGGCAACAACTGCAGCCGGCTCAAACGTGATTGGTCAATATCATGCGGACTACAAACAGCCTACAACCGGAAACCAGGGTTCTTCCGCTCTTCTTCCGGAGGCAAGATCTCCAGGGTTTGCCTATGACACCTCCAGGAGGCTAGACAGTGATCTCTGGTGTCCCAGAGACACTCCCCTAATGCCAGCTCTCACTGCTCCCCACACCAACCCAACAACCTCCTTGACCTTACTTACACATGGCTTTCTCAGCCCAAACAGCACTGCCACCTTCAACACACCCAGGTTCCGTTTATGCGAGCACCACGTAGTGACCGTGCCGATACTACCTTTCCTAGCACATTCACCATACGTAGGATATATCAGCTGGGAACCATGAATGTTCTGATCTTTCCGGCAGATGTTGAAATGTTGTCAAATATCACTGACCTGCTCTGGGCCATAGATAAAAAGTCAGAGGATCACCAAATGGTTTATCTTCTGGGCACCATGCACATCTGTGCCAAGTATTATGGCAATCTGTCTGAAAACTATAATTATTTCAGTATGGGCTAAAACAGTGGACTGACCTACAGACAGACACATTATTATAAGAGTGCTCTAAATTCAAAGCAGCATCAGCAGATCTGGTGCCATTTGGGAGTTAAAATGTGTTGATATAAATGTACAAGTTGGAAAATGTCAGCTTGAATAAACAGACTGTGACACAGACGATGGTGTGAAACTCTACGGAGACATTTGCTTTGATCCAGACATTGATATTTAGGCAAAGGTTGGTGCTCCATTACGTCAGATTTCCAAAGCCTATTTGGGTTATTCAGCTTAGGACACAAAATGGCACAAGTATAACAGTTTTCATCATTTTTGATCATCACATAGCCTTATAAAACATGAAAGCCCCAGGAAAAGTGTTACCAACTGTTCTAGTCAAATATTAAAAGTCTCAATAGATGAAAGCCTTAGGTAGTCAGATGAAAGATTTAGGTGAAGTGTTACTATTTAATTTAAGTGAAACTTGAAACATACTGAAAGGAAGATAAACAGAGGGAAAAAAGGCATGAACTTGCCTCATCCATTTCCTCTCTGCTCGTGCCTGGAGGGGCTGACATGTTGAACCGATGGAGGAAAGGAAGGAGGAAGATGGAGGAGAGTAAAAGGAAAGACGGATGAGGCAGAGGTGGAAGAAAAGATGAAAGGAGGGGAGAGGAAAAGATCAGGATTAAGGGAGACGGGTAAAGTGGGACCGTGTTGAAATGAGGAGAAGAGGCAAATATAAAGGAGAGAGAATAACAAGGAGCCATAAACAGAGGTAGGAGAACAGGAGAGAGAAAATATGAATGAGTGGAGCAGCCTGGTCACCAAGTGTTGTACATTTCTGCAAAGAACAAATATGTTCATTTATATGTTTCATATGTATAATATAAACATTTCTACAGTGATGTAGTAGATGAGCAGACTGTCACTGGGAGGTGGAGAGGATGGTGGATGGCATGTGAGCTTGGCAAGATGGCTGTCAAGCTGCAGACCACTGTTTGAGAGCAACCAGTCATCGCTGTGTTACCAGCGCAATTTTAGTCACCAAATGGTGTTGCAGCTTTCAAGGCACTGCATGTGGGAGTTTTTAGGGACCCATTGCTGTTTTTCCTGTGGCATTTTAGGCACAGTCAGCGTCATTTAGGCACCAAGTGTAAATGTTTTTTAGGGACCTGTAGCTGTATGCTTTATTGCCACTAAATGTTGGTGTGTTTTGGGGAATCATTGCCATTTTTCTACATCCTTTAAGCCACCAAACAATGCAGTTTTTTAAGGGACCTATTGCTTTTTTGTGCGGCTTTTTAGACACCAAATGTGGGTGTTTTGTAGCAACCCATCGCTGTTTTTCCAGCAGCATTTTAGGCCCCAAATGTGGGTGTTTTTTGGGGAACCGTAGCTGTTTTTCCTGTGGCTTTTCAGCCACCAAATATTGGTGTGTTTTGGGGATTCAGTGCTATTTTTTCTGCAGCTTCTTAGCCACCAAACATGGAGGTCTTTTAGGGACCCCTGTTTTTCCTGCGGCTTTTCAGATAACAAACAAGGGTGTTTCATAGCAACCCATCACTGTTTTTCCAGCAGCATTTTAGCCCTCAAACATGGGTGTTTTTCTAGAGCTCTATCACTGTTTTTCCAGCAGTATTTTAGGCACTAAATGTGGGTGTTTTTTAGGGAACCGTAGCTGTTTTTCCTGTGGCTTTTCAGCCACCAAATATTGGTATGTTTTGGGGATTCAGTGCTATTTTTTCTGCAGCTTCTTAGCCACCAAATGTGGAGGTCTTTTAGGGACCCCTGTTTTTCCTGCTGCTTTTTAGACAACAAACAAGGGTGTTTCATGGCAACCCATTGCTGTTTTTCCTGTGTTTTTTTAGCCAGCAAACATGGGTGTTCTTTAGTGACCTACTGTTTTTCCAGCTGCATTTTAACCCTCAAATGTGAGTGTTTAAACAGCTTAAACAAATCTGCTACATAATAATGTACAAATATAATGTGTTCATGGTTTGCAAAAACGTACAATGCCAACATTTTTTTTCTGGTGATTGGGTCGACTTAAGAGTGGAGTAGAATGAGGAATATATAGTGAGATGGAAGAAAGAAAAGAAAACAGGAAAGTCAAGGAGGATGTGAAAGAAGATATGCAGATGAGAACAGGGAGGGAAAGACTGGGAGAAGAATAAGAGAAAAATGAGGGAAGGGGAAAACAGGCTAAAAATGAGGAAAGAATGAAGATTTGAGGGGATGAGGTCATGGTGAGAGAGGGAAAGATGACATCAGAAACAGCAAATGTTTAAATGAAAGCTAAGAAAAGAAAAAGGCAAGAGGAGGAAAACAGAAACTGAGAGGACAGAAAGATAGCGAGTTATAGACGAGAAGAGGAAAGTGAAGAATACAGGAAAGAAACTCAACGGACAAAAAGGACCAGAGAGGAGGTGGAGACGAGGCGAAGAGTTGTTGGATAAGTGCTGGTTGTCAGTGTGAACCTTTGTTCTCCCCCGTGGCTCAGGACTGTGCCCCCCAAAAATCATCTGACAGCACCTCACCTCACACCACTTAACACACAATCACTGCTGACACACACTCACACATACACACACATGCAACAAGAGCTGCAAAGTGAAGTCTTTTAAAATATTTATCGACTACCAGCTCTTTAAAACTTGCAAAAAACAACCATGCTTTCATTACGGGATCCTGAAACACATACACACACACACTCACAATGTGTGTAGCTGCACAGTGAAGTGACAGGACTCTGTGTTCGGACCAGGCGGCTACACCAAGATCACTGCATTAATACCAGACAGACAAGAGAGAGGAGGAGGAGGAAAGGAAAACAAAGAGATGAAGAGACACTAATGAGATGCAGGAAGAGAGAGATGGAGAGAACAAACGCAATATGGAGACACAATCCAGAGAGACGGGAATGAGACGGATTCAAACAAAGACAGAGCAGGAGACGAGAAGAGGGACGAGATGAAGGGAGGACAGAAGCTGTTTTCATCTTTTATTCAGTTAGTTAAGGCTTCTTCTGTATCCGTGTCCTCCCACACACACACACGCACACACACACACACACCTTCAGTCACTGTATGTTGTCTTGTAGACGACGATGGAAACTTCATCACAGTGAGGTGGTTGTACAAACCGTATTTGGGTTTCAGGCATGTTGAACTTTGATTAAATGGGTCGGTTTACCTCCAGTAGGATCTCGAAAATAGTTTGAGAACAAGATTTGAGGTTTGCATCTGTGAGATGTGGGAACTCTTTGTGCTCTGGGCAACCGAACTAATGAGCAGGCTGTCTGGCAGTGAGTCGATACGAATGCTGAAGTGACGTACTGTAAGTCAGCTGGCTGTGGGTAAAGAACCATCCCTTTCGCTCTGACAAGTCAAAATAGTGTTGGCGCGTATATGCTCAGTAAAGCTGGATTCACATCTTCGTGTCGTCTTCCTTTTTTCTCTTTAAGAGCTTGTTTGTGTTTGTGCTGCATTAGCTGTGTTTGCCATTAACTGTACACCTATATCACTCATGGTTCCTCTTGTGCTGGGAGAATACCTGCTCAGATAAGGAGCTAAAAAAAGTCCCTCAAAACTGCGTTCAAGGATCTACGATCACTCCTAGTTCTTGGGGTGCAGATACTAAAAGAGGATCCTTATAACTATGAAACAGTCTCAAAACATCTGGTATGTTCCAGTAGGCTAGCATGTTTGCTGTTAGCTTGCCACCTACAGTAGTTAACCTATATTGTCAACCGGTCTCACTCGTCGAAAACCGTCGCTTGGGCATTGACTTCTGGTGTCAGACACCAATGAAAGAAGCCGTCCTTTTACATCAGCATGATACATGGGACAACAACGAACGTTAAGAGGACGAAAAAGTCAGAGTAGGGTGGGCAGGAGAGGCAGTGGATGGGTCCAACAACCACTGACTTTTACCCGGGAGGCAGGTGTTTGCTTCCCGTTTGAACGTAAAGCCAAACCTTTTTCTTTTTTCCTACACCCAACTACATGTGTGTTGGCAAAACGTAACCATGTGTGTTTGTTGTTGAATGAAAAAAAAGTCAATTTGCGATGTTGTACCAATGTAGTGCATTTATTTTGAAAGAGACTGTATGCAAACTGTACATTTCCTGTGAAAACAGAAGTGTCAAACAGGCTGAAGTTGACACGGCCTCCCAGAACGTCAACAACCAACACACCCAGGGTACCTTGGACGTCATATGTGGACGTGGAAAGTCCATGACCAAGCGTCGATATGTGACGAGGTCGGAGTGAGAATGTGTTGATACTGTAGCCTGCAAGTCATCCCTAAACCACTGAGCGTCTATACAATGCTTATTTTGAGAGGATGCCACTTTTAACCCTTTTCCTCCAACATGAAACAGCTTCTATTTCGCAAATTTAATTTTAACCCAAAATAAGTTTGTTTGGAACGCTTAATTTTGAAGAAAAAAAAAGTGAAATATAAGGGCCCTTTCCATTTAGTCTGGCGCTCCGCTGACTGGTGAGCTTTAATGCTGCATTTCAAAACACCATCCAGTTAAAGGTGGTGAAACCAGAACAGAACTGGTTCCAAGTTGGTGGAAAAGGGGTATGAGGTTCCAAGAATCCTAAACAACACAAGTTCAGGAACCAGAGTTAATCTGATGGAAAATTGGAGGTGACTAAGATTTCATTTGTGTGTTGAAAACCCTTAAACATTATGTCGAGATACTTCCGACAAAAACACATTATATCAGGACCACTGCCTCCGTTACTCTAGAAAATTAATTTAATAATTTAATTAATTTAATTTAATTTATGTAACTGCACCAACCTAAAATCAGAGTTGTGCGTTTCATCAGGTGGCAATGAAGCTCAATCTCTGCTTCTATATTTGGTATATTTTTCTCATATACAGTACAGGCCAAAAGTTTGGACACACCTTCTCATTCAATGCGTTTTCTTTATTTTCATGACTATTTACATTGTAGATTCTCACTGAAGGCATCAAAACTATGAATGAACACATGTGGAGTTATGTACTTAACAAAAAAAGGTGAAATAACTGAAAACATGTTTTATATTCTAGTTTCTTCAAAATAGCCACCCTTTGCTCTGATTACTGCTTTGCACACTCTTGGCATTCTCTCCATGAGCTTCAAGAGGTAGTCACCTGAAATGGTTTCCACTTCACAGGTGTGCCTTATCAGGGTTAATTAGTGGAATTTCTTGCTTTATCAATGGGGTTGGGACCATCAGTTGTGTTGTGCAGAAGTCAGGTTAATACACAGCCGACAGCCCTATTGGACAACTGTTAAAATTCATATTATGGCAAGAACCAATCAGCTAACTAAAGAAAAACGAGTGGCCATCATTACTTTAAGAAATGAAGGTCAGTCAGTCTGGAAAATTGCAAAAACTTTAAATGTGTCCCCAAGTGGAGTCGCAAAAACCATCAAGCGCTACAACGAAACTGGCACACATGAGGACCGACCCAGGAAAGGAAGACCAAGAGTCACCTCTGCTTCTGAGGATAAGTTCATCCGAGTCACCAGCCTCAGAAATGGCAAGTTAACAGCAGCTCAGATCAGAGACCAGATGAATGCCACACAGAGTTCTAGCAGCAGACCCATCTCTAGAACAACTGTTAAGAGGAGACTGCGCCATTCAGGCCTTCATGGTCAAATAGCTGCTAGGAAACCACTGCTAAGGAGAGGCAACAAGCAGAAGAGATTTGTTTGGGCCAAGAAACACAAGGAATGGACATTAGACCAGTGGAAATCTGTGCTTTGGTCTGATGAGTCCAAATTTGAGATCTTTGGTTCCAACCGCCGTGTCTTTGTGAGACGCAGAAAAGGTGAACGGATGGATTCCACATGCCTGGTTCCCACTGTGAAGCATGGAGGAGGAGGTGTGATGGTGTGGGGGTGTTTTGCTGGTGACACTGTTGGGGATTTATTCAAAATTGAAGGCACACTGAACCAGCATGGCTACCACAGCATCCTGCAGCGACATGCCATCCCATCCGGTTTGCGTTTAGTTGGACAATCATTTATTTTTCAACAGGACAATGACCCCAAACACACCTCCAGGCTGTGTAAGGGCTATTTGACCAAGAAGGAGAGTGATGGAGTGCTGCGGCAGATGACCTGGCCTCCACAGTCACCGGACCTGAACCCAATCGAGATGGTTTGGGGTGAGCTGGACCGCAGAGTGAAGGCAAAGGGGCCAACAAGTGCTAAACACCTCTGGGAACTACTTCAAGACTGTTGGAAAACCATTTCAGGTGACTACCTCTTGAAGCTCATGGAGAGAATGCCAAGAGTGTGCAAAGCAGTAATCAGAGCAAAGGGTGGCTGTTTTGAAGAAACTAGAATATAAAATATGTTTTCAGTTATTTCACCTTTTTTTGTTAAGTACATAACTCCACATGTGTTCATTCATAGTTTTGATGCCTTCAGTGAGAATCTACAATGTAAATAGTCATGAAAATAAAGAAAACGCATTGAATGAGAAGGTGTGTCCAAACTTTTGGCCTGTACTGTAAGTAAGGTTTTTCAAATACACTGATGGTTGTGTTATGATGTATCGGTATGATCCTGTGAGAGCTTTGCAGGGCGGAATCAGAGTTTATTTTAAAAAACAGCAAATCAAGGAGGGATGAAATGATTGAGCCAAGTGATCCACTCCTCTCACAAAAACAACATCATTTGCATTCAGAGTTCAATATGTGCAAATGTCAGCGACACCCAGGTTGTTTTTACTTAAACGTGCCCTGAAACCAGAGCCATACTATGTTTCTTTGTCTGAGTTTAACAGAGTAAGTCGAAGTATGTTTGAGGGTCTTTCCTGCCATTGTGTTGAATGAAATTCCTCCAGCAGAGGGATATTGTGGGGAAAGGCTCTCCTCATCGCCTCAGCAGGAAACCTCTGCCTGCCGGGGATTTGACTAATGGCTGCATTGTTGGTCAGGGCTACAGGGGAGACGTCGCTCTGTTCTGCTCAACATGTTCAGTTCTCTTTAACTTCTATTCTTTTTTTGTTTTGTTCTGTTCCCTTGTGGTGCTCTTGGACTTCTAGCTTATTGTGCATTTTGACTCTTTGTCTGGACACAAATGACCACATTCAAATGATTAGGGGCTATATTGTCACACATGTGCAAAGGAAAGAACAGTGCACCGATACATAATTTGGGAATCCGCGAAAAGTTTGGCCTCATGTAGGCCACGATTCAGATTTTTAAGGTGCTGCCATTGTCTATAATCCTAAATGACTGAAATCCTAAATGCACCAAACTGACGGATAATCACAAATGATCTGTCTGCTTTTATGCAACGACTCTGTCCTTGTTCTTATATCTTGTTTTATCTGCAGAACAGATGCGTGCTGTATAAATAGACTTGAAAGACTCTATATACGGAGCAGGTGAACATCGGATCCGTTTTGCTTTACACAGTGATGAGTCAGACAAATTAGACATGGATTTTGCAGAAAGGAAAGGTACATTTGTGTTGAAGGTGAGACTGGTTGTCATCTACTCACTGTGTGTATTTATACGCTTCCTTTTTCAGACAGCACAGCAGACGTCATGGTGAAACAGGGGCCGTTCAGCCTGGATGACCCCAAGGATTACAGCGTGGATGTGCGCATCAGTGACGGAGGGCGACCCATCCAGACCAGCATCACCAAACTGGCTATCAAGGTCAGTGTGTGTTTCACATGTGAGGGTTGTGATGTACTAAACTGTTTGAGGGCAGAGAAATGTTAAAATAATTGCATGGATGATTGCACTGTGATACTGACTGAGTGACTGTTTGTTCTGTCTGTTTTAGTCGTGTCGCTGTGACGCCAGGCGGATTCCTACGCAGTGCAAAGCTGGTGCTCGGAGGATGGGAGTGAGCGTCCACGCCCTGATAGCCATTCTGCTCTGCATACTGACCATACTGGGTAAGTTTAAGTTTCTTTATTTCCTTCTCTCCCTTTCCTCTTTCCTTTCTTTGTCTCTATCTTTTGGTGGAAACGTCTTTGCTGAGGTTTTCTGCACAGCTCCTCTCAGAGATCATGTGTCAGGGTTTTCATCAGGGTGATGATAATCCTTTTTGTCTTGCTAAGAGTGCCTGAAGAACTTTTCTTTTCAGTGACCATTTGTTCACCTCGAAGGGGGACTCTAATGTACACATCAAAGTCTTTTTACAGGTGTTTGGGGGTATTACTGCACCTGTCAAAGAAGTTGTATAAAGCCTTTTCGTGGCTCCAGAGGGAGCTATGTTAAAGCTAATAAATTGCCTCAGGTGATGTCACTTGAGTCCCTGTCAGTTGGGGCTGAAGACTACAAGTTTTAAAATGAAAAAATAAATCTGTGCGTGGAGTTAAAAATAAGTGAGCTCTGCCGCATGCTAGAAGCTCAAGGCTACATTTACTGCTATTAGCATTACACACCTGAATCTCTGATAGACCTGTCAGCACTGGTCGAGTTGCATTGTGGGTAATTCAGACACCAGGCTTTGACCAGGAATCAGGGCATGAAATAAAAAAAGTTGATATCTCTAGGTTTCCTGCTGTATCAACTTTTAGAAAACTGTCAGTCTGACAGTGTTACAGGAATGCAATGATCAGACCATGCAGTTTAAGCCCAGCTCAAACCAAAGACTCAAAATGAGAGGAGGAAACAGGAAACTACTTGCAATGCATTGTTCTGCAATGTTCAAAAGACCTGCCGGTTCACACTAACACACCTAGATGAGATGGTGTATCATCTCCAGTCAACAACTCTGTACTTTTGTCCTGTTTTCCAGCTTTTCAGACTTATTTTGTGGCTGAATATAATTTGTAGCTTCTTAAAATATGAATGAGGATAGTGATAGTGACATACTGGCTACAGGTGCATTTGTAGTAGTGATGAAATGGCGAGATAAACAAAATGACATGTGACATAAATACATAATAAAACGCACAACCCTGGAGACAGTTCGGGTAAAATAACACAAGCTATGTTTCCATCCAAAAGTGATTAGAATCATTGGGAAATGCGCATTAAAAGACATATGAATCATTTGTGTTTCCATTAAATGTACGGACTTTGGTGAAAACTACGAACTCCGGAAACAAAACAAGTCTCACATTCTTCTTCTACATTTTCTAGCGGTTGGCAACCAGCTTGTAAATGCATTACCGCCTTCCCGACCCGGAGTGTGGATATCACCATGGAGAGAGGTGCGCTACATCAGACTTAATTCGAACATAACTGTTTCCATCCCCTGTTTTGCGAACCAACATTTTTTTGAATCAACCAAAACCCGGCTAAAGCAAGCGTATTTTAATTTGTGAGAATCAGGGGATTTTAATTCGAATTTTGGCGTTTCCATCATAATTTTCCGATGCGATACTTCTAGATGCGCATCTAAACAGGCTGATGGAAACATGGCTAATGTCTTTACTGGTCAAAAGGTAGGTTCGGTACACAGAAGGACAATCGGGGGGGCAAACAAATCTAATAGGGATGAGGCAGAGTCAATCAACAGGCTAAATCCCAACAAAAAAAAAAAAAACAAGAAAAGGACACAAGGAAACAAAAGGCTAGAACGCTAGACACACAAGGAGCAAAGACGAACTGGCACTGAGAGAAAACAAGACACACACTAAATACTGTGGTGAGGAGAAGGATAACGAGACACAGGTGAGGCTAATCAGGGCGGGACAGACAATCAGACACAGGTGAGGTCGTCAGAAGGGAGGGAAAACACACAGGGGCAGGAAGTGAAGTCATCAGAAAAGAGAGGAGACGTGAGTTTCAAAGTAAAAACAACATGAATGAAATAAAAAACATAAGCTAAGAAACTTGAGCTGCAACACCAGCACATCGTGAGGATGGAAACAGAGGGCTCAGTGGGGACGGAGCACCTGCTGCAGCAAGCAAACACACAGTCTGCGGCCATTTTGACTTGACCTGCGGACTTCACTACAAGCCGACTGGCTGTTCAAAGAAATGACACACTTTACATTCTAAAACCAGCTGCTGGCGATCTGACCAGCTGAGTCACAGGTGACACCATCAGCCAGCTTGAGTCAAGCTCAGACCGGCCACTTCACACCGCTGCCATTTTTCTCTGAAACGTTCTAAATCGGTTTCGTCTCATCACAAATCTTTAGTCTGAACTGGGCGTTAAAGGTTCTGTATGAAACATTCAGTGCATTACTACAGCTGCAAACCCCTATTTGCTATGGTGGAGCGATGGAGTCCTGAGCACTGAATGTCACGCTCCCTCTGTGTGTTGTAATCTGAGCTTCTCTGTGGTTTGTTGTGGTAAGACAGTCTGGCTGCTCTTGCTTATTAGTGCATGCGTGGATCCCACTGGCTGCTTCATTGCCGCTGCTATACACTGTGCTCTGCGGCTGTTACTGCTGATATCAGGACAGCAATGTCATGGAAGCATAGCGACCACCCTCGGTTCCTCCCTGGGTAACCCTGTTAGCTCTGTCAGCACTGTTGCCATTGTTTGGAGAGCTCTTTCTGGAGTTAGCATCGTTAGCTGCTGATCATACGGCACAGCAAGAAGTATTCATGTGGAAAACATGGTGTTGCATGAGATTGTAACCTGTTACCTTTGACACCAGAGGTCCAGCCTCACATCCTGTTTCTGATTTTGCTGTGTTAACATGACTAAACTGTAGCAACACTGCTGTGTCAGTGTTCAGATATCGTAGTTTTATTAAATCAGTCAACTTCTAAAACATTCCCATTAAAATGTTCGCAAGATTTTGCACTATTGTGTAAAGTCAGTACTTTGTTAGGCGGCAACAGTCTGTTGACAGCAGCTGAAAATAATCTTTGTCTCTGACCTCCACTGGTATAATTCAATTTCCCACCCTCAAGGCGAAGGTGATGGGTGTCAGAGGTGAAAACTGAACCCAGAGAGGACAGTAAAAACACTGCTTCTCACTTTGGTTCAGAGTTAAGTCTTTCCAAAGCATTGCTTCCTGTTTACTGTGCAGACACCTATTTTAATCTGATCCTAAATGATCCTGAACTCTGATTTTATGTATTTTTTTTTGTGGCTGAAAAGTAGGAAATCTGTTGGAAGTAAACAGAGCAGAGTCACAATCAAACACGAATGTATTCCAAACAGGCAGGAAAAATAAACTGCATCACTTCCTGTGTGGCTCTGGGTTTGTTTAGGGTTTACCAAACACTAATATACAGGGACAATCATGAAATGTTTGTGGTTTGAGTCAGTGAAAGAGAGCAGTAAACAGACATTTAGGAGAAAATGTGGGTTGTTTGGAAGTCTTGACAGTCTGTTAACAAACAGGTGCATACGTACTCTCTTCAACCCGCCGAGTTTTACCCTCTGAGAGGAATTCATGAAGATGGCATCAATGATGGATGCAAAACGTCGCCGGCACTGGGTGATTGGGGCATGTGCACAGCAGACTCACTTGCCCTTGCTTTGCAATAAATAAGGTTTGTGTTTTGTGGGGAGCCCGCCCCCCCCCCCCTCCCTTTGTTGTTGGTTTTATGAATAATGCAGCGACGGATGTGGAAATAATGCCTGCGGTTGTGAGCTCAATATTCTCTTTGATACCTTCGCCCCCTGCTCCTTTTTTTTCTGGGGAAAAAGAGACACTTGTCATGTTGGATGAGAGGCACGTCAGAGATAGTTGGCCAAACAAGAGGGATCTGGGATGAGAAGTGCTGAGGAAGAAAGGCAAAGAGAAGAAGAACTTAAAGATAAAGAGGGACGGAGGCGGAGTGACAGATGGAAAAAAAAAAAAGAAAAGAAAACCTTATATCTCGCCTTAGATATGGGAGGTGGAGAGGGGTGAAACAGGCACACAGACGAGAGGCGAGTGAGACGGGGAGCTGAGGTGGAATGAGAGCGACTGAGTGACAGAGCGAGACAGAAAGAGGTTAAAGAAGAGAGACGCCGAAGAGGAGAATTGTGGGAAAAGCAGCAGAAGAATAGGAGTGGTAATGAGGAGAGTTTATCAGCTCTTTAGGTGCCGTCTGCTTATCAAACACCGCCAAACACTCAACCTATTAACTATTAATACACTCCTTCACTATCGCTCCTTTTCCCCTCCGTTTTTCCTTCATCTCTCTCTTCCTCTTTCTCTTTCCCTCTGGGTCTCTCCCTCTGCCTCCCTCTCTGTCTCTCTTTCTCTTTATCAAACACCCCCAACACAGGCCAGATTAACTATTTAATGCACTTGTCATTATCTGCCAGGGCCCAAAGCAATTTACCGTGCTCCCCATTCACAGACGCATTTTCTCACCAGAAGTCTGGTTTGACACACGAAAAGAAATTTTTCTCAGTCGTTTTCCTACAAAGAAAGGGCTTCTTCTTCTCTTTTTTTTCCTCTTTTCTCTCCCCTCTAAGTCTGATATCTCCAGAGCTTATTAAACTGCAGAGCATGTGTTGTAAAAGATTAATCTGTTGGTTTCCCAGGCAAACTTAAATTAGTCCCGCTCACCCTCGACTAAAAGGCATGGCTAATGGTGCCCGTTCGCTGAGAGAGAAAGAGGTTCATATCGGGACCGAGGCTCGGGGCCTAATCTAATGTCAAATGTATCCTCCTTCTCCTCATCTGTCTCCTCTCTTGATTTCCTCAGCCAAGACTTCTCCCGATTCCTTCACTTCCTCCTTCCTTCAGTCTCTTCTCCTTATTTATTTCCTTGTATTCTTTGCTTCCTTTCTCCTGTCTCCTTGTCCTAATTCCCTCATCTCTATGGCCACTGAAATTCAGGGGTTACACAAGAAAAAGAAAAACTTTGTCTTTTTCCACGCTGTCTTATCTCATTTCTGAACTTTGAGAGTAAGTTTTGACAAATGGAACCCAACAAAGACAATGCAGAATGGTTCACTGTCGTCATATAACTTATAAGTCTGTATTTTGTGTCTCTATTGTCTAAATCTCTTTTATTTCTTCGACCTTGCCTTTTGGTGCTTTTCCCAGTTCCACAGCTTTGAGCTTGAAACACATATTATGATTGCTGCGCCTATTATCGCTCGGATTTGGGCGTTACGACAAACCAAGGAAGCCTTAATGCCAGCATGTTGACAACCAGGAGATAAAATCACACAGTCTGGTGTTCAAGAGTTGCTGCCTGCCATTCTCATTAAGATTATTTCAAACAACCTTTCTGACTCTGAACTGTTTGTGTCACATGAAAGTTTTTAAATGTACAGACCTCCTCGCCCACATTGCTACAAACCAGCTTTTGATAAATACCCATTTGTGGTTTCGTACAGGAACACACAATGATCCCTGCTCTCATGGGATTACCAGTGATTCTGCTAATATCAAAAGTCTACCTGTTGTCCAGTGCATTTTCTCATTTCTTTAAGCTTCATTCTGACTGATAATAATGTAAATTCTGTAATACAGTAATATTTTCTGAGATAGTTGTCGTACTACGAAAATCTAATACCATTGCAACCCTAATGTCCACAGCACAACATGAGGCTCAGGAAAATCCAGACAGCACTGTAGAGGGTTATAACTGCTTCAAAATAAAACTGAATCAATATATAAAAGAAGCTGGCCCCTCTAAGACCGCATAGTACAAAAAATTTTTTTTCTTCAAGCCTGTTACTCTTTCTGAACACTATTAAATGATGAGACTTTAAAGGAAAAAAAAACACATTTAACAGCTTCTAAACTGCATTTAATGGGCCAAACACACTCAAACAGACTCACTCAAGTCACGCACTCACCAAACCAGGGCTTTACAGCAGACTAGTCCAAATTATTTGAGTAGTTTATTACTAAAGCTACAGTTACAGCTCGTGAGATGGAGATCCTCAAATCGTTTTCCAGACAGATGGCGACAGCCGAAGTGCCAGACTCGAGGCTTCAGAACAGAAGTCCACAAACCAGTTGGTTACATCATAGTATCCATTATTTTTTGTCTATGCTCCTAGTCTACCGCCCCTAAAGAGGATGACCTCATTTATCAGTGCTTTCCAGGGCCATTACGAATCAGTGTTACAATAAGAAAAACCTTTCCTGATCCGACCCTGCTCTTGCTAACTTTTGGTCAGGCTTAGGCGCAGACTAACTTGATTATGTGTTGGAAAATGTCATGCTTTGGGTTTGAAATCCGCATTGACTGTCAGAGGAAAACATGAGGCGAACAGTGGTCTCTTTTCACCCGTTCAACGACCACAACCTTTTCCCTCTGCAGAGTTCGTGGCTACTTCCATCTTTACTCCCAAAGTGGCATATATGACTGTTGGAGAGTACCAGTGATGGGCACGCTTACTTACAGTCGCAGTTTTAAACATGTGTTTAACGTTGTGAAATAGTGGCAAATACAAAAACTAATTGGTTAGGGTTAGAAAAATGATTATTTGGATTATCTTGGGTAAAAGTCCTGTGTTTGTTTAACTCATCTACCACCCTGACCACCTCCATTCGTGGTTGCTCCTCATTCTATGCCACCTGACCTCCTCCTTTGCTCCCATAATGATTACTACAGCCACTAGAAGTGGAAACTACTTGCACAGATGACCTATACAGCTGTTTTTTGGGTGAGAGCAGACTGTTGCTCCTGATGGACAAACAAGAGTCCCAATTCCTGCAGCTGTTAGAGGTCTTTGTCACTTGAACATAAATGACGGTTTGGGGCATTTTCTTGTGACTTAAAGCTCTTATCCTACATTCTTCTCTTACTTTGTTTCCCATATCCACCCCCCTTTTCTCATTTTTTTCTCAATTATTTATTTCTTCGTCATCTGCCAGGTCCAACTTTCCTTCCCTTTCCTTTCTCTCTCACCCCCCTTCACTTTGTTTTCTCACACTCATTTCCACTTCCCCTCTTGTATTTACTGAATCTGGCTTCCTGTTTCTGATGCTCCCCTCTCTTTGCTTCTCTTGTGTTTGTCTCTGGCTGAGTAGATTCATCTGAGGTTTTCACGCTCGAGGCGAACGTCTCAGACACCTTAAACCATCCGCTCCTCATTTACTCCCCTCATTCTTGCTGTTTTCTAGTCTCGATCCTTCGTTAGTGTTCCACTTTCCTCACTTGTTTCTTGCCCCCATTCTTTGTTTTTTTTTTTTCTTCATGTTTCAGTTTTCTTGGCCTAATTTTCTCTCATGTTTTTAAGTTTAAAGAACTGTTGGTTCACCAAGAAATATGACAGGACAATCTGTGTTTGTGTTCTGTCCTCAATTTTTACCAATAACTATGAATTTCTTTAAAAACAGACATACAGCTCTTAAATATTTATCCTGAGCTCATCTCTTGTTCCGTTTTGTTGACAGCTGCACCTTTTGTCAAAAATGGCCAAATCATTTTGACATTATCTTAACTTGTGTTACAGACGCAGCTGAATGTGCCGTCAAAGAGGATTCACAGATTGAATCTGTCCTAAAATAAACTTTCCTCTGCTCTTTCAGTCATAGTGATCCTGTTTGTGATGAGGAAACGCTACCAGAAGGATTCACTGGCCAGTATGAAGAACAGCGGTGAGATTCATGAGCAGCTTGTCACATACGATGAGGAGGGAGGAGGAGAGATGGACACTAACGGGTATGTAGATGAAAAATTGGAGAAAAAAAAAACATAATTTGAAGCACAGAATTATATCCCTATTTAACAGTAACACAACTTATTTCTATTCTCATTTTATGCCGTCTTTGTTATTGTTTCTCTGTACTGACATTTTACTTTTATTATTTCGCACTTTATTTCCTAGAAAACCACACACTCCGTTAACTCGCCCCATTTGCAATATTCATTTTCTTTGCTGCATCTGTCAATTTGGTGACCCATTTTACCCAAAAGAAATCATTAAAGTTTAATTGCCATCTAATCTTATCTATATTTTAATAGTATCAAAACCATAAACATTTACTTAAACCACACAAAATCCCTATAAAATATCCATAATAAGTACATCAAACTGTTTGCTGTCAAAGGATTTGATGGCTGGGTAAAGCAGTGAATGTGAAAATTAGATAAGAACGTAAACTAAAATTATTGCTGACATTTCTGTTCTCATTCTTTCTGAATGACTTTGATTTTTAAAAAGATGAAATTGCACTTCCTAGTTGTGCATTGAATATTATATCTTATAATCTTAGGTTGTGTTTTTATTCCCTCTAATAGCACTTTATCACTATAATTGTCCTTATTTTGTCATATCTAGGACAAATATGAGACAACAAACATAACACAGTTGATACAGTTCAGTTCAGTACACATTAAAACAGTTACTTATATGTTGTTGTATATGTTCCATCCTGGGAAGTTGTGGATGGTACCAGTAGAACCGATCCTTACCATTTTTCGTCCCTCCTCTGTTGGGGAACGTAACACACAGACTAACTATGAAATGTTTGTGTTAACTATTACATGCTATAGTGATGATTGGATCTTTAAGCGTTTAAAAAACATTTATGACTTTCAACCGGATTAACCGGATAAACTGCAAAATCTTTTCCCTCACTTAGAGAAAAACTTGGCAGAGAGTAGTACCAGTGCACTCTGGCAGCACTACACCCCTGCTCTTGCCTGACAAGGACTCAATGCTCAAAGCTGCTATTTTTAGATATCTCACGGAGGGAGATACTCTCTCCGGCCAGTTCGTTTTTTGTTCTGAAATGTCAACAGGTTCTCATCATATATCACCGCTTTGTCAGTGGACTTTCAAGTCTAAGAATTAAGCGTTAGGTATCCTCCTGAGTCTGCTGTTGACATTTCATCATAGTTTGGGTCTACGTTTATACAGGAAGTGAACACCAGGCTCTTGGGTGAAAGTCCAGGGTTTGTTTGACCCCCTCAGCTCCTTATATTACGGTGTCACTGGCTGCGTTTCAAACTGACACTGTCCAGCTGCATATAATGGCGCCGTGAAAGGTGCCATCCAGCTGACCAGCAGCATCTGTGGCTTCTGTGTGTGATGCCAAAATCAATGACAAGGCAGCAGTATTTGACGACTTCAGAATGACAATGGGCCGGAAATACTGGCTTGCAAACCCCGCTCTGTGGACAATAGATGAGCTGCTGTATCATTGTTAATGAGGAAATACAGCAAAAGCTGGACGGAGCTGTGAGTAATAACCACACCGCCTACATTTAGGAGTAATCTCTGTGGTAGAAACACTAAATGGATCTAGGGTCCAGGTACATGTTAGTAGAGATTACTTTTGGTTCTAAAGGTACTATCCTGAAAGTTTAGGGTGGAAATGTCTTATGATTGCAACTCCCATGATCCTGTTTTTACAGTATTCCTCTCTCTTTCAGCTACGACGTCTCAATCCTCACTTCCGCTTGCAACGACGGCTCCCTGCTCCGTCATCCTGAACACCACCCCCACCCCTCTCTCTACGCCATGGTGCAGAAATCCCAACACCACGCACAACCCACTGCATGTAAGGGCGATATGGCTGTGATGATCGAGGTGAAGAAAGACGAGGCGGACCACGACAGAGACGGCTTCCCATACGACACTCTCCACATCTAAGGCTACGAGGGACCCGAGTCTTTAGCCGGCAGCCTCAGCTCTCTGGAAAGTTCCTCCACCGGCTCGAACTTGGATTACGACTTCCTGAACGACTGGGGGCCAAGGTTCAGGACCCTGGCCGAGCTGTACGGTGTGGACGCACCTGAGTACTACCATCAATACTGATGGAGACCGTCTGCTGATAAGCATATGTGATGCCAAAATACATACACAGACACACATAAAAAACAGCCATAGGAATAACCTCACACACTCACACATAGCCAAAAGCATGCAGGAAATAAACATGTTCACACACACACACACACAGACACACACACACACACACACACACACAGAACCAGGCTTTGATGCCATTTTGTTTCTTTGTGAGAGCATCAAACTCCAACAAGCTCCATCAACTATAGAAACAAGGAGATTTTGGAGAGCTCTTTTTTTCTCATGACATGGTGCCCTCTGCCTCCTCCTCCTCCTCCTCCTCCACTGAGGAGATGTTGGAAAGATTTTTAAAGTAACACCAGGACATGACGCCATGGGAGAAAGTGAGAACTAACTGCTTCACAGATTTGCAAGATTGTTGGTGACAGCATGAGATCCACACCACGAGGATGGTTTTTGTTCTGTCACAGTGTTGTGAAGTTTGACATCAGAACCCCTTTTATTCCACCTGAGAAGATCTGGAAGTCCAATCAGATGAAGCTTCACTGCGAGTCGTAGCCAATCAGAGTTAAACTTGGATAATTGATGGGTTAATCAGGTCACTGCTGGCCAGCGATGTTACTCAGTAATTCAGATTCTTTATGTCCTTTTGCATTTAGTTCATGCAGCACTATTTTGCATCCCCCTTTTTACCACCAGTGACTGTATTGCAGAGTTTTGTATGCACATGTATTCATCTACATATACCTGCCAATGATGCATATTTCTTAATGAAAAGAAATAAACTAACGCATAATTAAACATCGACACAATCAACACATTCTCACTCCCATGTCGTCAAAATGCGAGACTTGGTCAGTGGCCCTACGCATCATGACACTCTAGTGAACAATGATCGTGTGTCAATTTTTGCTGGTTTCATGCATTGTGTTTTTAAAATTAGTTTGCGTTTTCAGAGGAAATGTACAGTTTCTGCTCCTTGAATGCATACAGTCTCTTTTCAAAAGAAACTTACAACACTTCTTAAGGTTTAGGCAACAAAAGCATGTGGTTAGGTTTAGAAGAAATATCTTGATTTGGCTCAAAGTAAGTACGCTTGTTACTAACGTCACATATGTCACTAGCATTGTATGCTACACATTCTAGCATGCCACACTACGCTGTTATCAAAATAACTCAGTTGACTGTTGGTTTCACACGGTACACAAACAGCGGTTTCCAGGTGAAAGTCCGAAGTTTGTTTAATCCAACTGCTCCACACAGACTTTCTAGCTTCTTATGCTACAGTTGACTGTAGGGTCAAAAATTCAGCTGCCCGATGTGTCTCGTACTGCCAGTAAAGTGATCCAAATCTGATGCCAAGAGCCACCGACCAAGCGTTGGTATTTAACGAACTGGGAGTGAGACCAGGTTGGCACAAAGTCTGCATATACCACAAAAGCTATACTTAGGGCCCGTCCCAATACCCAACCTTAGCCCTACCCCTACATTTGTGCATTCCTGCAAGGGGTAGTGGTGTCCCAATTCCTTTTTGCGTGTAGGGGTAGGGGGCATAACGAGGGGTAGTGGGTATGAAACTAGCCCTTCGGAGCGAGGGATTTCAGATGCTGACTTGCCAGCGAGGGGTAGACGTTGCCATGGCTACCACCGAGCAAGAGACGGGGAAAAAAGTTCATACATAGCTAACGTTACCATCGTCAGGTTGCTTGTTAGCTAGTTAGCTAGTTCGCACTATCTGGCGTCTGTCATCTGCCCTGTTCTGCAAAACTGTTGGACTTTTCACATTACGCTAACACGCCAGCTAGTATAACTATGCTGCCTTGTAATGTTAGCCGGTTAGCTAGCTAGCAGAAGTCCCCTGTCCCCTGTTTAAAATAGTTACATATGCGTGAATGTAACCGACGCGGTGACGTAGTGAGTGGTGTCCCAATTCCTAGGGAAAGATTTCAACCCCTACCCCTCGTTGCTTCATTTTGAGGGCAAAGGGGTAGTGGACAAGGGGGGTATTAGGATTGGGCCTTAAAAAGTATGTATCATCTTATTCAAATGTAAAAAATTAAACATCAGCTTATCATCTGCATATGAGCTTATTAAGATATAGTGACTAACATTGGAATTTTAATATCAATGGAAGTTTATTTCTGTGCTACTGGGGATGCAAAATGGTGCACGTTAAAACAACTTGTTGATTTTAGATTTTTGACACTTTTGTCATCTCTTTCATACTGATGCCTGTAATCTTTTCCAACTTTGATGTTTGGTTTTTTTAGATAATTAACAAAAGGGCCATAAACACGGCAAGAGGAGGGTGATTTTATTTTTGATCTGAGGTTCATGATTTGATTTGTAAATATGTTTGCTTGGGGGAGGGTTATTGTTTGAGGTGAAAAACTTTGAGCAGCCCCCAAGAGTTTTAAGTCAAAGAGGTTTGAAGTGTTTGATCACAGCCAGATGCTGGTTGTGTTTGCTTTATCTGAAACAAGGTCGCCTCTAAGGAACTCTGGAAAACTCACGCTGTTTACTAGTCTGTGATATCCCGTAAGTTATTCTGTGATAAATTTCCTTCACTGTAATATTGCAGCAATTTCTGACATAAAATCAGTTTGACCAGCTGTTAAAAAAGGTTCAGATAACCTGCACAAAAAGTTGCAATTCTTTAAAGGAAGACACCTTAAAAAAAGCCTGTTTTCCCTCTTTTTGTTTTCTGAAACCATCCAATATGTCCGAGGAGTCATATTCTAAGAGAGTCATTTTGTCCATTTTCCCAGTTATCATCAGCTCTGAGGAGAGAGAAGATGACACACGGACTGGAAGGAAATGGCTCCGCTGTGGCTCAGACAGAATTACAATGTGTTCCCAGGTCTTATTTGACAGAACCTATCATCACAGTTATTGTTGAGATGAAAGCCCAATTCTCTGCGGCCTACTAGAACAAAAGTCATTCAGGCAACTCAGGAAGCAGCAAGTGGCAAAAGCAGCCAGTAGGGCCGCTGTGATGGCTCAGAGGTGGCCTGAATAACTTTAACCTCTCATCCTTTCTGGCTACTGTCGGGTCACAAACTCTCTGATCTAACATTTTTACGATCTTTAGATGATTTTTAGCATATTCACAGGAAAACAACAGCATTTTTGCTCATTCATAAACAAAGCTTCAATCTTTGGACTGATCTGAAAGTATTCCTTTACTGTAGTTTGTTTCATCTTACAATAAGTCAAACTTAGAAAGGCTTATTGACTTTCGCTTTTTAGTTATTAGTTCCAGGATTAGTTTGTTCCAAGATACACAACACATGGTCATGGTATAAAAAGGACAATCCACCAAGAAGCAAACAGCGGTCCACAAAAACACACTCCTTGGAGCCAAACTCATCCTCATTGAGCTTTTTTTTTTTTTTTTGATAACCAAATTTTTTGTGGATTATGGCAGCAAGTAACGATTATTCAATCTGCTGGTTATTTTCTTGAACATCTGATCCATTGTTTTACCTATAAAATGCCCAAAAATGTGAAAAACCCCATGACAGTTTCAAGGTGAGCCCACAGAAATGAAGATGCTGGCTTATTTTATTTGACCAAAAATGCAAAACCCAAAGTTTACAATGAGAGGAAATAAAAAAAAAATAAGCAGCAAAACTCACATTTAAGAAGCTGGAACCAGCTTATAAAATATGTTTGGCATGTTTTGCATGAGAAGTGACCAAAATGCTTAATGGATGAGCAAAATAGTTTCCAGTTAGTTGCCGCCACAGTTGTGCTGTGGGTTTTCCCTTGCATAGATACTTTCTTGTTATCCATTTGGGTTGCCAGTTCTTAAGCACCCACTGAAGACAAAGATCCATTTTGCTTTGCATCTTGTATCTTGACGCAGGAGGTGTTGGTGGTCAGGTTTAGGCAACAAAACTACTTGGTTAAAGATCTACTGTGTAAGATTCAGGGGGATTTAGAGGCATCCAGTAGTGAGGTTTGCTCTGATGTAAAAAAAAATGAATGTCCTTATCTAGAGCCAGTGTTTGGTTTGTGAATTCTGGGCTACTGTAGAAACATGGCGGTGCAACATATCCTAAATCCAACACACTGGACCTACAACATCAAGTAACAACTGACTAAAATCTCATGTGACAAACATTGATCTCCTGGGTCAAAGTCCTGTGCTTGTTGGACCCATGTGCCATAAACAGACTTTCTTGCTCTTCATACTATGTCTCTTGCTCTTATCATCTAATAATGATATGCATGGTTGGGTTAAAAACTCTGTGTCTCATTCCAACACTAAACAATGCATTGTGCATCCGTATCTGACACCAAGGGTCACTGACAAAGTTTTTTGACACCCTGGGTGCAGGACCAGGCTACTTTGATAATATTGAGGACATGCTGTTTATTCGCTTTTTAAGTTATCAGGAACAACTGCTCACATGTACTGTCTGACCCCTGGCTATCTGGGAGACAGCTGTCGAGAAAAGAACTATTTATCACCGACACAGTAACATTTAAACAATACATTCGGACATTTTGGCTTATGGTCTAAATGGAGGCTCTGGAGATAAATCATGGCTTGTGCCGTTAGAAGGTCATTTATAAAAGGTCATAAAGGTCAGTAGTGACAACTTATAAAGAATAGGTGGTGCCCACTCCTGTTAAAATAGGTGATATTTAAATACATACAGACGCAGCCACGTGTCCTCAGGACAGTCCCTTTGTTTTGTTTTTATAAATCTAATTTTTCATTCCATTTTATCAGTTACAGTTTATTTGTTCTCCTTTTTATTCTGTTATGTTTGGACTTGAACTTGTTTCTTTAAGACTCCGGCCCTTGTGGAATGCCATTTGATAAACGCTGGATACAATAGCTGGAAGCCCTCGCAATGCTTTCCTGTTGGCTTCACATGTATACTTAGAGCAGCCAGTTCCTCCACATCACTCTCAGTCTGTCTCTCGTTTGGCCTCGCCGTATCTCCACCACACCGCCTCTCTCTCCGTCCTCTAATCAGCTAAACCAAACACCAAAGTTAACTTCCTGTCCATCTGGGGGGTTGCTCCCGCCCCTTCCTGTCTGTGTTATCTCTCCCCCGAGCCAACACATTGTGCTCACTTCCCGTTAGCTCGGCCTGGGAAACAACCTTGGAGAGGAACAAAAAAAAAGGAGCGAGGCAAGGAGAAACATGGGATGACAAGAAACAAGAAAAAAAGAGAACAATGTGGAGCAGTGATGAGTTTTCCAGCTGAACAGAAACACTTCAGAGCAAAAGATGTGCGTGATGAAATGCCAAGACACACACGCAAGTGGTGTTAACATCCTGTTATCCTGGCATCTTTGTGTGAAGCAACACTGGGCGCAACATTCAGAAATCAATAAAGATTAGCCACGGCTGAATCTCTGAATTGATGACAGGAAACTCTTTACTTTGTTGCCTCCAAGTGGCAGAAGAAAGAAAATCGTAGCCTCTATTTATGCCTCTCTTAATTTATACATTTTAAAAGTTTGGGACAAGTGGACAACTTTTAGAAAACTAGTCTTGTGTCAGCACCTATTTCTGCTGAAGACATTTCTGCAATCCATTATAAAGATGATTTTTTTTTTAACTGGTTTTATGAGACATGTTTATGGAAAACTTTTCTGGCTGCCATCTTTTTTTGGATCAAAGAATGGAGACCCACAGGAGGAAAGATTATTTTGTCATGTCAGACCTTGAGCTCTCAAAGAAAACAGAATCAGAGTTGGTTGCAGTTCTTTGTTATCACCATTATTGTCAGAACAGCTTTTATTTTTAAAAACTGAGGATGTGAACAAAACAAAACCAAAAAAATCAGTGTTGTTAAAATCAGCAGCCTGTAGCAGAGGTGCTCCATTATTTACTTTCCTAGCAGCAATGAGTGTTGTGTGTACTTATGGTGAGAAAATCGCAGACATCCGGAGACATCTTTTTTTTTGTGCTGGAAAAATACTGACTGAAATCTGTTCCTGACATTTGTTCCAACTTGCACATTTTAATTT